CAAGCCCAGCTTGGGGCTGTGGCTTCCCCCAGGCTTTGTTGATGAGGCTCAGAGGAGTTCACAGATCAGTCTAGCAACATGGGAAGGGCAGATCCGTTGTGATCCCCCCAGCTGGGCTCCCAGCTCCAGTGACCCTGCTGCTCCCATCTCTTTTGGGGGGGCGGGCGAGGAGAAGACCCTGAGTGGAGGGAGCGATCAGTGGCATTGGGGGTGCCGGGGTACTGCCTATTCTTGACATATCAGTGAATAAAAGTCTAACACAGCTGACTGGCTCCCAGGTCATTTCTTGGATGGATGGGGTGAGGGGGTTTGGGAAGGGACCTACTGCTTCTCTCTGGTCTGTATTGGAACTAAAGGTCATGGGTGGATCTAGGATTTTGAAAAGTGGGGTTCAAAGGATGCGCTGCATCAATACACATAGCACAACACGTTTTTCTCCAGTGACAGAGAAACTAGAAGTTTTCCTAATAAGCTAGGGGCCCAGCGCTACCTGATTCAGCTTAAGTTCAAAGCCAAACCAAATATAGCTTTGTTGGACTGCTCACTTATTTGTTAGATTATATATTGCATTTGAAAAGCACATGAAGCTAAGCAACAAATGGGCAAAAAGATATTATTTCATTGGTCCTGTTGTCATCATAGCTAAACACACCTGTCTTAATTGCAGGCAACAAAATCTAGCCTTTCTGAGCGTCTTGACAGTGCCTGAAATACTTAATTGTCAGTCATTGCTACACTTGAGTTCAGGTATTGAGCTTGAATGAAAAGCAGTCTGCGAAGCTATGAAGTAGGAGACATACTTTACCAGAAAAGGCTAAGACAGCAACACTGCAGAAGGAAGGATGGTTTGAATACGGAAACATTGATACCATTAACAAGCACATAGGGTTGTTAACACCTATGGATTTCAGAGATTAGCAGGAATAAGTGGATTACAACAAGCCATGAAGTCAATTGACTCCCTCAGCACAGCTGCTGCTCCTCCCAGGCAGTTTGGGTAGAGTAGGAATCAAAGTCGGGTGCAACCGCACCACTGTCTCCCGCCGGATCTGCTGAGATGACAAAGCAAGGACAGCATCTTACCCATGTCTTGCCAGTACCAGCTGCAAGCTAGCATGGCTGGTCATCACTCGGATCAGCGGTACCAGAAGAAGCCCCCGGTCCAGCTAACCCAGGATGTGCTTGCTTCTTGCTCCTGCATGAGTGGGAGGAAGTTGGGCAGAGTCTGGACATCGGCTCAGCAGCCCGGGTGCAGAGGCAGCAGATGCCAGGCAGGGCTATGCAGGAGCAAACAAAACAACAGGCCCCTCTCAATCCATGGCTCGTGCCAGGGCTGGAGGCTTAGCATAAGGGACAGCAGGGCACCTGGCCCCATGTTTGAGCCTGGTCTCTGGGGAGTTGGCTTTCCCCTGTTATGCTGTGCTAGTGCCAGGTTCCCCAGGGCTCCTGCAGCACAGGGCAGGGCTTCACATACTGTGCTTTCCCCCTGTGTTTTGTGCCACCTTGGGGAAAGGAAAGTGGGAAGCTGTGGAAAAGCCAGGGTTTCCCCTTGATTCCCCCAGATCCTGGGATAGGAGCTGCCAATCACGGGGTCCCTCCTGGAGCTCCCCACTGCTGATGCTAAGGGAGGAAGGACACGATGAGTCAGCAGGAGCTGGCTGCCTC